TAGCTAATTAGAGAGGTACCCAGGTGGCTAGCTAGAGAACTACCCAGTTGGCTAGCTAGCTAGCTAGGAAGTGTAGAGAGATGCTGCAGCCCAGCAGGAGAGAGCAAATGCCTCAACTACCCGACATTAGGATGCAGCTAGCCACCTAACTACCGACGGGCAGCTAGCCAGCTAGCCAGCTAGCTATGCGATGGGGCCCAGATAGCCACTTCGCTCGCTCAGGTACCGAAGCTGCAGCAAGCCATAGCTAGCTGCGGGTATTCCACTTCAATGAACAGCTATCGAAACCTTTCTCCTAGCTAGCCCCAGGGCCCTATATTAACCCGAGAGGGAGGGGCCCCCCTCAGGGGCCCCCGCAGGGGCCCCCATCAGGTTCCTTCCTCGGAGGGCCTCCCAAAGCAAGGGGTTGAGGGGCCCTCCAGAGGGCGCCTAGATGGGTCCCCCATAGGGGGCCCCCAGGGGCCCCCCAGGGGCCCCAGGTGTGTTGGAGGCCCGGGTTGTGAGGGGCCCCTCTGGGCCGGCCCCCCAGGCCCCTATGGGGGGCCTCCCAGGTAGTGAGGGGCCCCTAGGTGGGCCCTCAAGGTTGGCGGGGGCCCCTAGGGGGCCCCCCGGGTTTGGGGGGCCCCCCTACAGGGGCCCTCTGGATGGTGAGGGGCCCCTAGAGGGGCCCCCTACCCTGTGTAGTTGTTCTACGTAATGCATTTAAAAAGTATTAGATTTAAATAAGCAGAAGAAGACAAAAGAAATGAAGATGCTGCTAAGCCGAAGTCTCACTTAGTGCGGTTGCTGCAGGGGGCCCCCATGCCTTCTATCGGGGGCCCCCAGGGGGCCCCCCAGGGGGCCCCCTCTGATAGGCGTTAGCTGCGATGCTGCTGCTTGTGTTATAAATGTATTATATTTAAATGCATGCAAAGCATTTTGAAACAGCCCTTAGAAGGCTCTCCCTAGGGGGCCCCAGCAGGGATCCCCCGTACGGGGGCGCCAAGGGGGCCCCCCTACGCGGTGGCTGCTATCAACCCGCAGCAGCAGCAGCAGCAGCAGCAGCAACAGCAGCAGTGCCTCCATGGAGATTCAGCAGGCGGGGCCCCCAGGGCCCCATTGCAAAAGGGTTAGGGGGGCCCCCACGCCTCGCTCAGCAGCAGAGGGGGGCCCCCGGGCCCTGGGGCTCCTTCCCCCCCTTCATTAGTTTCGTAGGCAGTAGCTGCAACAGCAGCAACTGCTGCTGCTGCTGCAGCGGCGGCTGCAGCAACAGCAGCAGAATTTCAGATAGCAGGAACATCTGCAGCACAGGCCACAGCGATACCAGCAGCACCAACAGCAATAGCAGCAGCAGCAGCAATAGCAGCACCAGCAATAGCAGGAGCAGCAGCAGCAATATACGCAGCAGCAGCAGCAGCAGAAGGGAGTCTGATGCAGCAAGACCGCGCAGCAACCCAAAAGGGACAGCTTTCTTGTCTCCGCCGGAGTTGTCCGCCCTGCCCCATGTACGGCAGCAGCAGCTGCTGCAGCAGCAGCAGCTGCAGCAGCAGCTGCAGCAGCAGGTGCAGAGAGAACGACAGCAGCAGCAGCAGCAGCGGCAGAAGCCCCGCATATACCTTCACCCTGCAGTACAAGGCGCCAGAAGGCGCTCATCTGCTGCTAAACCTTCTGCTGCAGCAGCAGCAACAGTAGACAGATCTGCAGCAGCAACAGTAGAGAGATCTGCAGCAGCAGCAGCAGCAGAAGCAGAAGCAACAGCATATGATGCAGCAGCAGACAATCATCTCGTTGCACTGGAGCAGCATGACTTGGCTGCCCTCGATAGCAGCAGCAGCAGCAGCAGCAGCAGCAGCAGCCGTGGACGGGGCCTCTTGTGCAAGGCCCTGAAGGCTTCGCTTGCTGCACAGGGGATCCGATCCCTTACAGAGGTGCAGCGAAGAGCGCTGCCACACATCCTTGCAGGTACAGCAGCAGCAGCAGCAGCAACAGCAGCAACAACGTGGGCAGGCAGAACTGGAGCAGCAGCAGCAACGGAAGCACTCTCAGGGATGCATCCCTGCTATGCTTGCACTTACTCCAGCTTACCTGAAAGCTATCTGCGGCTAGCTATGGCTAGCTGCGGCTAGCTATGGCTAGCTGCAGCTAGCTGTGGAGGCAAGTGCTGCAGCGGGAACGTGAGAGTGTGTTTATTTTATGTAGCTTGCGTCTGTGTGTATGTGTTGTTGCTGCTGTTGTTGCTGCTGCTACTGTTGTTGTTGTTGCTGCTGCTATTGTTCCTGCTGCTGCTGTTGCTGCTGCTGCTGCTGCAGGGCGTAGCGCCTTGATAAGGTCCCCCACAGGTACAGGGAAGACTCTGGCGTATGTGCTGCCGCTGCTGCAGCTGCTGCAGCAGCAGCAGTGGCCGCGCGAGGAGCCGATTATTATATTAACGCCCACTCGGGAGTTAGCAGAGCAAGTTGCAGCTCAGTTCTACAGGTAATGCTGCTGCTGCTGCTGCTGCTGCTGTTGTTGCTGCTGCTGCTGTTGTTGTTGCTGCTGCTTCTGCTGATAATTGTGGCCTTTATGGTTCCGTTGCTGGCGCTGCGTACGTCCCGTGGCAGTTCCTGCTGCTGCTGCTGCTGCTGCTGCTGCTGCTGCTGTTGCTGCTGCATTTGCTGCAGTTGCTGCTGCTACAATCGATGCTTCCGGGCCCTTTGCATTTGCTTGTGGCGCTTTTTCTGCTGCTACTGTTCTGCACCCGTTCCTGCTGCGTTTGCTGCTGCTGCTGCTGCTGCTGCTGAGTGCAGGTTTCGCGGCAGCATTGTTTGTCATCCAGTCTTGGCTGTGGGGGGCCCCCAGGGGGGCCCCCCATTGGGTAGCGTGCAGCTGCAGCAGCGCGGAGGGCATGTCTTGATCGGGACGCCTGGGCGTATAGCAGCACTTGCTGCTGCAGGTTATTTGCTGCACCTGCAGCAGCTCAAGTGCCTGGTTCTAGACGAAGCAGATAAGCTTGTGGGGCCCTCGTTTGACGATTCGTTAAAGATATTGCTGCAGCAAATAAACCCTCAAAGACAAACTCTGCTGCTCTCAGCTACACTCCCCAACTGGGTGTCAAAACAAATACAAGAAACACTCTCTCCCCCGCAGCAGGAGCAGCAGCAAGAGCAGCAGCAGCAGCAGCAGGAGCAGCAGCAGCAGCAGCAGCAGCAAGAGCAGCAAGAGCAGCAGCAAGGGAATAAAGGGGCCGTTGTGATTGACTTAAGGGACACTGGGGGCTCTGAACTGTCTCCTTCTGTCTCTCATATTGCTGTTAGGGTGCCACGTGCTGTAGGGGAGCGATGCCGTGTTGCTGCTTTGCTGCTGCTGCAGCGGCTGCAGCCTGAAGCACAAGCAATTATCTTCTGCTGCAGCAGAGACGAGGTGTCGCTGCTGGCAGCACATCCGTTGCTGCAGCAGCAGCAGGCGCGTCAGCTGCATGCGCAGATGCCTCAAAGGGAGAGGAGACAGACAGTGCAGCTATTTAGAGACAGACAGTTTAATGTTTTAATTGCTTCTGATCTTGCAGCTAGGGGCCTCAACTTCCCTGGCGTGCGTTTAGTGCTGCAGTGGGGGCCCCCCCTCTCTCCTGAGCTGTACGTACACCGAGCAGGCAGGACAGGAAGAGACTGCGGGGAGGTTATAGTGCTGTATGATGAAGCACAAAGGAGACAGCTCAGGCTGCTGCAGCAGCAACTCAAGATACACCTCAAGCACGCCAAACCCCCCACAGACGCACAAGTGCAGCAGCAGCTTCTTCAGAGACTAGGTAATCTTTCCTCCTGCTGCTGCTGCTCCTGCTGCCATTTGTAATGCTCTGTTGCCTTTGCTGCTGCTGCTGTTTTTTCCGCTGCTGCGTCTGCTGCTGCTGCTGTTGCTGTCGTTGCTGTTGTTGCTGCTGTCTATATATATATATATATATATATATATATGTATATATATGTTTGCTGCTGTTTTGCAGAGGGTGAGATTACTTCTTTTCCTTTTGCTGGGGACTTGAGTCAACTGACATCTTTTGCTGCTGAGCAGCAGCAGCAATGGGGTGTACGTGTACTTGCTGGAGGGTTGTGGCTGCTGCTGCAGCGGCAGCAGCGCATGTCTTGGGTCTCGTGTCTCTCTGGGAAGCCTCACCGTCTCTGTTTCTTATTCTTTGACCCTTTAGGGGAGGTGCTGCGGCGTCGCAGCGATTTGCTGCAGCTGCTACGTGCTGCTCTAACCGAGCAGCAGCTGTCTCTTGTGGGGCGTATAGCTCTCAGCAGCAAAGGCTTTGTTGTGGAGACACCTCCATCGCTTGCTGCTTATTTAAAAGCCTCTCCCCGCATTAAGGAGACAGGCCTCAGACTTATACTTCTTTCCTCCTTGCCTCCTCTGCTGCAGCAGCAGCAGCATCGATTGCACACAGATATGCAGACACAAAGCAAAACAAACAAATACAGAAGCAGCAAATACAATACAAATAAATCCGCCTCACCACGGGCACGCAGGTAAACTACCAGACTACCTGCTGCTGCTGCTGCTGCTGCTGCTGCTCTTGCTGATGCTGCAGATAGGGATTCTGCTGCTGGTTTGTTTGCTTCTGGTGCTGCTCCTGCTGCTATTGCTGATGATGCGTCTATTGATTCTGTTGCTGATTCGTTTGCTTCCGTTGCTGCTGCTGCTCGTGTTCTTTCTTCGGATGTTGATGCTTTTGCTTTTGCTGCTGCTGCTGCTGCTGGGTGCAGACGCGCCGCTAAGCTGCTGGCTAGGAGAAGGGAGGCTGAGGCTGCGAGGCAAACTCTGAGGCAAATGCTTCAGCAGAATAAGCGGAGACAAACGAAAGAAAGCACCCAAGCAGCAGCAGCAGCAGCAGACAGCAGCAGCAACAGCAGCACCCAAGCAGAGTCTTAATGACGCATGATCCGCAGCAAGCCAGAGCAGCAGAACACAGCAGCAGCAACAACAGCAGCAATTCAATAACGTAGAGTTTTCAGAGTGTGGGAGGCCTTAGGCCAGATCAGCTATGAGCCTGCAGTGCCTTCACTGAGCTGCTGCTGCTGCTGCTGCTGCTGCTGCTGCTTCCAGTACTGCTGTGGCTGGCGTTTCGTTGCTGCAGCCAGCAGCAACAGCAGCATTGCAAGAATCAAAGTCTATAATGAAGTTGCGCCTGCCGTCTGCTCAGCAGGCGCAGCACCCAAAAGAATATAATAAGTTCAAAGCTGCATGCATACATAACATGCATAACATGGATGCATGCATGCATAGCATCTATGCATGCATGCCTAACATGCAGAACGTGCATGCATGCATGCATAACATGCATGCATGCATAACAAGTATGCATGCATGCATGTATGCTGGGCGCCTCGGCTGCGAGAGGCCCAGCAGCGATTTTTTTTAAAGAGATTTTCTGCTGAGCATTAGGGGGCCCCCTCCTGCTGCTGCAGCGCATGCAAGGGGCCCTCAAAACTGTTTTCCTGTCTCTTGTCTTTTTCTTTATTATGTTTGTGGCGCTGTAATGGGGCTTGAAATATTATTGCAGTCGCTCAGCTGAGCTGCAGCAACAACAGCTGCAGCAAGAACGACAGCGGCAGCACCAGCAGCTACAGCACCATCAGCTGCATCTCCAGCAGCACCCTCAGCTGCACTCGCACCCTCAGCTGCACTCGCACCATCAGCTGCAGCAGCAACAACAGCAGCAACAGCAGCTGCTGTTGATAGAGTATGTTATTGGGGTGTAGGCGGTCTGACTATTCTCGCTTGCTCCATCCTAGCCCTCCATCGTGCTGCTAAGATGCGGGCACCATGATATCCGTGTCTCTTTACAGAGAACTGCTGTTCAAATTGTTTGCCCTCCACTGTAATGCGAGCCCTCCAGACGTCTTTAGGCCGCGAGAAGCAAACCCCTAAGAGACGCATAGACCCAGATGAAGACAAGGAAGCAGCAGCAGCAGCAGCTGCTGCTGCTGCTGCAGATGCAGATGCAGCAGAAGAACATGCATGCGTGCTGCTGCTCCTGTCGTCGACGCCAAACTCCGTACCCAGATATTCAGCCACACCATCTCCACCCTCTGCTGCTGCTGCTGCTGCTGCTGCTGGCTGCGGTGTATGAGCCATGGAAAAGACAGAGGGAAGCGAAGATGAGCGGAGGAGACTCTCCGCAGTTTCCTCTGCGCCTGCTGCTGATGTGCTGTTGCTGGCTGCTGCTGCTGCTGCTGCTGCTGCTGCGGCTGCTGCTAGACGGGTCTGCATGCGCTCTCCCTTCATCTGGTGCTGCTGCTGCTGCTGCTGCTGCGAGGAGACAGTGCGCGTTGCGGCTCTCCCGCTGCTTCGCTCCCACGGAGACCTCCATGCCTTCCTTCGCTGCCGCCTCGTCGAACGGTAGGGGCCCCCAAGGGGGCCCCCAAGGGGGGCTCCTTCGGTTGTATTGTCTTCAATAGCCGCAGGGGCTTCCCCTATAACCGATCGAGCAGCAGCAGCAGCAGCAACAGCAGAAGCGTCAGCAGCACGGAGAGCCGGAGGCTGCTGCTGCAGCAGCTGTTGCTGCTCGTGTTGCTTAAGGAATCTCTCTGGGGCTTTAAGCCCCTTTGTGGGGAGACACTGTGCAGATTGAGAGTTGCATGCACAGACAGGAGACCAAGTACTAGAAGAAGCAGCAGCAGCAGTTAGTGGAGAGAAGATAGAGAGACTCGAGTTATCGCTGCTGCTGCTGTTGCTGCTGCTGCTGCACATATGAACTGACGGCTCTGCAGCAGCGGCGACAGCAGCAAGATGTTGATTTTCTGGGTCAGGAGGCCCATGGGTGCTGCTGCTGCTACTGCTGCTGCTGCTGCTGCTGAGGGAGAAAGCGCTGCACTCTGTCTCGTCACAGAGGCAATCTTCAAGAGCACAGGGCCCAGGACTGAGGGCCCCTTGAGGGGGGGCTGTAGTAGAGCAGGTAGTTGTTAGTATCCTGAGTTCAGCAGAAGGCCTTGCTTCCTTTAGAGGGCTTAGAGTTAGTAGGGGGCCCCTAGGGGGCCCCCCAACACTAGCAGAAATAGGAGAGTGAAGAGGCGCTGCGTAAAAGGGAGCAGAGGAGTCAGAGTTAATACGAGAAAGCACCCTAAATAACTGATGCAGGCTAATCATAGCCGCTAGAAAAGAAGAAGACGCTGCGAAGGACATGCAGCAGCAGCTACTGCTGCTGCTGCTGTTGCTGTTGCTGCTGATGCTGCAGAGCTGCGGCACCGTGCTGCTGCTCTTTAGAAAGAGGACACAGAACAACAGCGATAGAAAAAAAGGGCAAAAGAAGCCCTAGCAGCTTAGCCTTCCAGAAGC